GTCGATGTTAATGTTGAAATTTTTCTCCATTGTGTGTCACTTTGCGTCGAATTTTCATTGATGTTAAGTCTATATATTGAAAAATATAAAAACAATAAAAAATTATACTTCAGAAGTTAATTTAGTATCAAAAACGTAAAATATTTGAGTAGCCCAAGACATGGCCAAAGATTGCAGCGCCACAGCACTGGCGAAAATTTAAATTTGCCGACTGGAATTCTTTCGGATGATTGACTTTCGGATACCGACGCTCTACTGTAAATGTAAGAATTAAGAATTTAATGTGTTCACATACTTAAACAGTTACATAATTCAGAATGTTACTGAAAGATACAAGTCTGGACTTTATTTATAACTACATACATGAATTTTTTCTTTCTGGTCTTCATTCCTTTTTCAAGCGGATTATAAGTTATAAACTAGAATTTATATTTAATGTGGCATTTGTTAAAGATTTCATTTTACAGTGTCCACAATGTTATTACTAGCTATTATACAAATTTTACAATTTTATGCTAGAAGTCACAGGTACTCTTCGAAGAAGAAAATTAATAAAACTTTACTATAATTGTTTTTTTTTGTAGCATTTATGTTTCAAAATTTTAATTAATAAATACTGATTTATATATATATTTAGATTTGACAGTGTTATAATTAAATTAGACAGTGTTATTTCTGAATTGAATTTAGATTTTTTCAAATCTAAATTAAATTCAGAAATAACACTGTCCTTTCATAATTTATAATAAATATTTTATTCATCTGCTTCAGAGTATGTTGTTATATGAGTTTTATAAAACTTTTGCTCTCAAATAAACCATGTAAACAATAAATGAATTATTATTATATTATTACATTGTGATCTAATCTTTCTTACCCCAAGAATAAATTTGTGATTTAAATAAATAAAGCACATCCATTTATTTGAAAATTTAATAACCTTTCATACACCTGCATTGATGATACAGCAGACTAGAAATAAAAATCAATCAAATAATAGAAAAATTTTTTCCATTATTGACTATTTAAAATATTTTCCAATCAGCTTATAAATAGAATATTTTGTTTATAAAGTAGATTAACATTATCTTAAACAAACAAGACAAAGCAGTGGTTTTCAGAATACCAAAAAAATTTGATATCACAAAAATGGTCTCATATATAAGAGCCAGATACTGTTAAACTTCAGAAAACAATAATCATACTGACTACAGGATCAGGTCATAAATACTAAAAACTACAGAAAACACATACTCAAAGATACAACACTCACAAATGACACATGCAGAAAGTGTCACATCATGCCAGAAACTATACAACACATTACATCTGG